TCCTCGGGTGAAAGTATATTATTAAAATCGCCCAAGACTATCCAAGGTATTGAACATGTGGCTCCAAAATCAATTAGATTATTCCATAGTGGCCTCCGAGTAACAGTAGAATGGAAACCATATACAAAACTGAAACGAAATACAGTAGAAGTTACCTTGCAGGTTACTTCACAGTGTATAACCTGTGGGGTAGCTTCCAAGACACACAGGTTGACTTTTGTTCGGTCCCATAGGACTAGTATTCTCCCTGCCGGATGTGAAGGGAAATTATCTGTATGACTCCACCCAAAAAATTTATTCCTTAGGATTCGAGCTAGCTTTTGTTGGTTAATTTTCATCTCCAGAATACCAACAATATCAATGCGTTCTTGGCTAATGAGGTGATGAACCCCATTTTATTTTAGGGGCATGTTGAAGCCCCTAATATTCCACGCAGCAATCTTCATGATGATATAAAGAGGGCATTCCCCCTCTTTTTATCCTTCGTCGATGGTTTAGGTGGTTGCTTGTCAAGCCTTCCCTTAAGCCTGTCATTACTTGCTGGCTTTGATGTCTGGACTACAGGATTTACATCTGTATTATTGAAGTTGGGCGATCCAATTCCTACTCCAGACTTCTGTACATGCACTCTATCACTTGTAATAGGTTGTGGTGTAATCCGTTTAGGCATCGATCCTTTGGTTGCATTCATCGGTTTATTCTTCCTGCCCACTTCAATAAAGGGGTTATCCTCCTCATTTTGATCAATTGAGGCACCTGGTTTTTCATTGGCATCAACTTGACCAGATGTATCTTCCTGTCCAGTTGGATCTGCCCCTGATGTGGTTGCTTCCAGCAAACAGGCCTGTTCTATTATGGCCTTATTCGAGTTCTCAGCAGTGTTCTGACCGTCTACAGCTGATTGACATGAGCCCCCAGCAATGTTCTGTCCCGCTGTTGCCTTATTCGAGTTTGTAGCAATGATTTGGCTATTTTTAGCCAATTGACTCGAACCCCCATCAATGTGCTGCCCATCTTTTGCCACAGACTTAGGGGGAACGATGTGCTTGTGGCCAGTAGTTCCAGCTTTCAGTTTGCATGCTTCTGTTTTGTGCCCAAATGTTTTACAAGTGCAACAGAATTTTGGTTCATGTTCGTAATAAACCACTTGCTCCCTCAATTTACCATTTGGGAGTTTCATCTTTACCGAACGGACCAGGCTCCTAGCTGCGTCCACCTCAACTAGAATCCGTGCAAATGATAATCGTCTCTTTGTAGTTGTGAGTAAATCAGTTGTGATTGGTTTTCCAATCTTTGTTGCAATCATACTCAGTGCATTGGGTGTCCAAAAATTTAGGGGCAGCCCCGGTAACGTCACCCACACCGGCATAATGCTAATATCGGTATCATCAAACTCGAAAAATGGTGGGACATGTTTTAACATCAGTGGTCGCCCATACACAAAATAAGGGCCTCCTTCTAGCACTTGTGTTCTATCCTCAGCATTCTCAAACTTGAACACGAGCCAACCACTTTGATGGACAAAGTACTGGTACTTTACCCCCCATTGATTACACATTTGCAAGAGGGCTGTTTTGCCTGGGAATCGTCGAGCAAAATACCCCACCAGGCAGTAACCCCAAGCTGTGTGATCATCTTCAATATCAGCTTCCTCAAAAACAAGTATATCTGGCAGGTTCTCGCAGGTTTTAAGCTTGAAACCATTCTCACGCTTACGGTTCTCCTTGAATAAACTAGTCCACTGTGTCTTAGTGGAATCTGATTCCTTTTCTTGGCCTGAAATGTTGGTTTGCTTAACTGCAGTAGATTCATCCTCTGAAGCTGTATCTTCATCACCAAGTGTTTGAGATAAGCTTGGGGAATTTGAATTTGCATGGTCAAATTCCTGCTAGAATGTCTTGGCAGAATTCGTGGGATTGGTTGAGGATCCACCAACGTCCATTCCTTCATTTCCTTGTGTAGATTCTGCCACATTTGGTAATTTCCCAGAATTTTTGGGAAGTGCTGGAAATTCAGCCTGACTTGAGGTATTACTTGGTAAGTTACCAACCTGATTGGGCGTCTGATTTGGTAACTTGCGAGCACCGTTTGGTAACCTCCCACCATTATTGTTATTAGCCTTTTTTCCCATATGGAAAGGCTGAAAACGTGCAATGACCCAGTCTACAATCTCTCTCCTTCCAAATTAAGCTTTCCAGCGCCACCGTAGATCCGGCAACCCAATATGGTGGCCGGAATCTGTAAAGACAGCACTAATTCAACTAATCCAAGAAAAGGGTAAAATCAAACATGAACCAGAAGATTTGAGGCTCTATTGAACGAAATCCAAAAGAATATTCAAAACTTCGAAGAACACCTCAATGAATCTGGATGAAACTTGAAAAAAAAATGGATGAAAAACCAGAAATCCAAGCTGTAAATCTGATTCTCACGTAAAAGACTTATGGAAAAATCAAGGGAGGAACTAAAAATCTCTCAAGGCAAGTGTGCACAAAGTGGGATTTTCTCTCACTAGGTTGAGAGCATCTCTCTCTAACACACTTTTGAAGTCATCATAATTCTTTATGCTAACGGAAGTGGATGTAGTGATTAATGGTTTGAGTATCATAATTCATTACTTTATGCTAATGGAAGTGGATATAATTTTTTTTTTTTTTTACAAGGTGTCCGGGCTTGCGTCCGACTAGATCCTTGTCCCTGAACCTCCGGCCCCTCAGCAGCTCAGGGAGGTAAATCGCAGGATGTGCCCTTGTTGGCTCCCAGGTTCCCACAACTCATTTGGACTCCTTCCGCAAAGAGAGCTCTCCTCGCTGGGCGTTTGTTCAACCAAATGGCTTCCCCTCCATTTTAGCACCCAGTGTTAACTCCAGGAATCGAACTCTCCACCCTTGCTTCCAGCGTCCCAGCGAAGTGATTGTTCCACCAACTCGGATGTGCCCTGAGGGGCTCATAATTCTTTACTTTATGTTAACGGAAGAGGATGTCGTGACTAATGGTTCAAGATCCTGTTTGAAAGGGATTAATTTCACAAACGATCACTGAACTTATAAAAAAAATACAAAACGGTCACTGAAATTTAAAACTTTCAGTAACAGTCACTTAAATATTGAGATGCTTTCAAAAATGGTCACTGAAGTTTAAAAACTTTCAGAAACGGTCACCTAAGTTTAAAAATTTTTGAGCTACTTTTGCGGCAATTTTTCGATCACTTTCGACCATCGATACCACCGGATTTTGATATTGTTGGAAAGCCTACAATGTCCTCTTCAATTCTAACGAAAAATCTCCCCCAAACTCCAAAGGATTCGGCCGAAATAAACCCACAAAGTTTGCTATCCGAAAAGGCGAAAATCTGTCCAGATTTTAAGATTTTTGGGGGATTTTTGCAACGATTTTTGACAACTTCCGCCCACCAAAATAGCCAAATTTTGATACCGTTAAAAAGCCTACAATGTCCTCTTTAATTAGCATCCAAAATATCCTCCAAACTCCAAAGGATTCGGTTGGAATAAACTCACAAATTCGACATCCCAAAAAAGGTAAAAATCTGGGCAGATTCAGGATGCCAAATTTTGTGGGTTTATTCTGGCCAAATTCTTTGGATTCATTGGGAGATATTGAGTGGAAATTGAAGATGAGATTGTGGGCTTTCCAATGGTACCAAAATCTTACGGTCTTGGTGGTCGGAAGTTGCCGCAAAAGTCGCCAAAAAAACTAAAAACTCTGGGCAGATTTTCGCCTTTTCGGGTAGCCAATTTTGTGGGTTTATTCCGGCCGAAACCTTTGGAGTTTGAGGAAGATTTTTCCTGGTAATTGAAGAGGACATTGTAATCTTTCCAACGGTATCAAAATCAGGTGGTATTGGTGGTCGAAAGTTGCCTCAAAAGTAGCCCAAAAAATTTGAAAAATCTTGCCAGATTTTCGCCTTTTTGGGATGCCAACTTTGCGGGTTTATTTCAGCTGAATCCTTTGGAGTTTGGGGGGAGATTTTAGATGGTAATTGAAGATGACATTGTGGGATTTTCAACGGTATCAAAATCCGGCTGTCTTGATAGCCAAAAGTCACCGAAAAATCACCATAAAAGTCGCCCAAAAATCTGAAAATCTGGGCAGATTTTCAGATTTTTTGGGGTGACTTTTGTGGCGATTTTCCATTCGAAGAGTTACAGAGAGATTTTGTGTGGTAATTGAAGAGGATATCGTGGGCTTTCCAATGGTATCGAAATTCGATGGTATCGGTGGTTGAAAGTAGTCGAAAAATTACCGCAAAAGTAAACAAAAAAACTAAATTTTTTTTTCAACTTCAGTGACTTCTTTGAAACTTTTTAAATTTCAGTGACCGTTTTGTAGTTTTTCTATAAGTTCAGTGACCGTTTGTGAAATTAACCCTATTTGAAACTATTAAAATAAGTTTATTTATTTATTATTATTTTTTTGTTTTGGGAAAATGAGAATAGTGATTTAATTTTTTCTAGAATACATAGTTAAAAACTAAAAAAAAAAAAAAAAAAAAAAATTTAAAAAAAAAATTTTTTTTTTAAATTTTTTTTTTTTTTTTTTTGGGAAAAAGAGAAAAGTGATTTTATTTTTTTTAAAAAAAAAAATTAAAAAAAAAAAAAAAAAAAAAAAAAAGAATTTACATACAAAATATTTTATTGTGAGTATGTGAAATTTAAAAAAAAAAAAAGGATTTTGTTTTAATGGTTGTCAAAAGCGTAATAATTCTTTACTTTATGCTAACGAAAGTGAATGTAGTGACTAATGGTTTAAATATCATTATTCTTTACTTTATGCGAACGAAGTGAATGTAGTGATTATGGTTAGTATCATAAGTCGTTTCTTTAAAGTTGCGTAAAGAATTTGTGTACCCTTTTTAAACAGAGAAAAAAATCATCTACACCACAAACAATTCCACTGTGCAATTTGTATCTACCCTTTTCTCTTTCTCTACCTACCGAAATCAATCAATCACTCACACCAAATTTCCGAAGCAAGAAAAAATGGAAGCTGTGGCTACTGAAGGTGTAAAATTTATTCTGGAGAAATTGTTTGAGGTAGCCTCTGAAGAATTCAAACTTGTGCGGGGTTTCAAGAAGGAATTTGCGAATCTAAAAAAATACTTGAAAATGATCAACGAAGTCTTGAAAGATGCTGAGAGGCGCGAAATCACCGACAGTGCTGTTAAAAGCTGGCTCAAGGACCTCGAAGATGCTGTATATGATGCCGACAATGTTTTGGACGAGATCAAATATGAAGATTTGAGTCGTACGATCCAAACCCAGCACAAGATTAAGCCAAAGGGGTGCTTAAACATCCCTTGCCATACTACTACCACTTTGGCATTTCAATGGAAGATGGCTCACAAAATCAACGACATAAATGCCGACTTCAAAAGGATAAACAACGAAGCTGATAGTCTTGGCCTCAACAGAGTTAAAGATTATCCTCTTGCAAAGCCTCTGGCCATTGACACTACTAGCTTCACTGTTGATCCAATTGTCATTGGAAGAGAAACTGATGAATCAGAAATTCTGGAGACGCTAACCAGCTCGATCCATAATGTCCTCTCAGTCCTTCCCATAGTCGGAATGGGAGGGATTGGAAAGACGACTTTAGCACGCAAGATCTACAATCACCATCGTACAAAAACCCATTTCGACAAAAGGATTTGGGTTTGTGTATCAGAAAATTTTGATCAGATGACGCTTTATAAAAGGATCCTGGAATCATTATTGAACAAAGATTTTGGTGGAGGTAGCAAGCAAGTTGTTGTTCAAAAGATTGCAGAGGAATTAAAACACAAAAGGTACTTGATTGTTCTCGATGATTTATGGAACAAAGAAACAATAGTTTGGGATGATTTCAAAAGTACTTTGGTGGGAGTTAGCTCCAACAAAGGAAATTTCATTATCGTCACCACACGTGAAGAAGAGGTGGCATTGATTGTGAACACTTGGAGTAGTCCTCGTAGGTTGAAGCAATTAACAAATAGTGAATGTTGGTCCATTATCAAAGCAAGGGCATTTCAAGATAAAGAAGTACCAGAACAATTTGAGATTACTGGGAAAGAGATAGCTAGCAAATGTAGAGGTGTACCTCTAGCAGCAAATATGGTGGGAAGAGTTTTGCAAGGAAAGGAGATAGAAGAGTGGGATTCAGTTCTACAGTTCGGGCTTTCAAATCTTAAAGAGGGTGAGAAGGGTGTGTTGCAAGTCTTAAAGGTAAGCTATGATCGCTTACCTTCTTCATCACTGAAAAAATGTTTTGCCTATTGTTCAATATTTATCAAGGATTCGGTCATAGATAGAAAAGACTTAATCCAGCTCTGGATGGCGGAAGGATTTCTTCCCAATAATCTAAAAAGTGAGATGGAGACTACAGGCAATAAATTTTTTAATATTTTGTTGCAAAACTTCTTCTTCCAAGAGCCTGAAAAGGACAAGTACGACAATATCATAAGCTGCAAGATGCACGATCTTGTCCACGATCTTGCATGTTTAGTTTCAGAATCAAAAAGTTTCATGAATATGGAGAGTCGCACTGTTGATGACATTCCTCAAGTTAGACACCTTGCAATAGAATCAATTGGAGAGGACATAAAAGAGAAAGCCAGTTATCTTAGCACATTGTTCTTGAGAAGCAGCATACCACATGAAATTTTGTCGTACTTCAAGCATTTGCATTCTCTAAAGCTATGTGATGCAGATATTAAAGAATTGCCAACATCAATTGGCACGTTGAAACATTTGAGATATCTTGATGTGTCCTACAATGATGATCTCACTACTCTGCCAGAAACTGTTTGCAAGCTCTACAATTTGCAAACCTTGAGGATTCTATACAACTACGTATTTCCTGGGCTTCAACGGCTTCCTAGAGATTTGCAATTCTTGATTTGTTTAAGGCATCTCTGTATTAATGATATTAGCGATAATTTCGAGATGCCACCTAAAATCGGAAGTTTTTCTTGCCTTCAAACATTGCCATTATTTTGTGTGGGTGACAAGGTAGATTGTCGAATCGATGAGCTAGGAAAGTTGAAGAATTTAAAGGACAAACTACAGATACGGAATCTAGAATTGTTGAGCTGCAAAACAGAAGCTGAGCATGCAGATATGGCTGGAAAGCGAAACATCTATAAGCTACACTTTCATTGGAAAGAGTCAACGGATTCCACAGAACGCAACATCAATGACGAGAGTGTACTTGAAGGGCTGCAACCTCATGAAAAGCTAAAAAGACTAACAATTGAAGGATTCCGAGGTAAAAACTTCCCATTGTGGACTACAAATATGAAAATTAATAAAGGCAATAGCGGCTCTTGGGTGAAATTTGATAAACTAATCAAGATCGAATTTCGAAATTGCCACAAATGTGAAGAAATCCCAATGCTCGGCCACCTACCACTCCTCAAGTATCTAAAGTTGTATGGTCTGACTAGTGTAAGATCGATACGATCATCATTCTATGGAGAGAGTGATTGCAGCTCAACTAGCAGCAGCGATGGCCAAGAGACGAGAGTATCATTCCCATCACTTAAAAGTCTTAGAATACAGGAAATGCCGAATCTAACAAAGTGGGAAGAAGCACAAATGAGCAGAATGCAAGTGTTTCCTTGCCTTGAATATTTGATGTTATCTAATTGTGAAAAGTTGACTCATGTTCCCCACTTGCGGGGTTGCGGAGCTTCTCTTAAAGAGATGATAATTTGGTCTTGTCCTGAATTGAGGGAATTACCCTGTGACCTAGACAGCCTCCAGTCTCTTGAGAAATTGACAGTATTAGAATGTAAAAATCTGCAATCAGTTTCGTATAAAAAATGACAAGAAGGTCTCCGTTCCCTTCAGAGCTGGAAATTCGTAATTGCCATGAGCTACCTGCCAAATGAAATGCCAGAGTAATGTATGTCTCTACCTGCCAAATGGGTGGAGGAATGCCCTAATCTTACATCACTTCCTGAATTGAGTGGGAAGGGATCTCTGCAGCATCTATGGGTGTATAGATGCTGTAATCTCACTTCACTTCCTGAAATGAGTTGGATGGGAACTCTACAGGTACTAATTGTAATTATGTAACGTCTTGAACTCTTTTTCATTATTATTGTTATTTTTAAATAAAAATTAAGCTCGATGTGCTATCAAAACTTTTCTCTATCGAATTTAAGCGGAACTATATCGAAAATACTCGATTTCAAATTATTAAACAACATAATAAATATCGTGCATAAAAATTAACACAAAGACATTCTTCATATAAAATTGTCAATTATCCTTTCTACTTTCTAGAAAATTTAGTCGACGATCCCATTAACATCGCTCCGTCAATCTTCCATGCACCTACACGACCCGTTCTCATCTAAAAATATTGTAAGAGTAAGTATTTTGAAAACACTAAGTAAGAATACGTGTACATCCTTATTCACATAATATAAATATAAAAATAGCATAACATACCAACATTTCTTAAGAATCCCCATATCCCGTAGGATTTAACATCTTTGATCAAACGGTCCATCCCGAAGGATTTAACATATTCTCTTTGACCTCACGGTCCATCCCGAAAGATTTAACTTCTTTTATTTGACCTCACGGTCCATCCCGAAGGATTTAACATAGAATTCGACTCGAAGGCCTTAAAGTATTTCATCCCAAAATTTACGTAAATGTCAAGAAATAAGAATTTACCACTTGCACATGTATTCTTACCTTAATTTGATATCTAAGAATTTGTATGAAAATGACTCGGAGATAACATAAAATAAAGCCTTTTCAACAATGAAATTCACGGGTATGAATTTGTATAGAAATGAAGTTGTGAATTTGTTTTAAAAGTAAAGCGCTCACTGAGAATATATATACACGCATAAAAGTCATTTAACACGTAACATGAACCAACGAAACGCCTGTGGTTAAATGTATACTTGATGATGTTAATAAATTAATATATTATTAATAGACACGTCTTATCACGTCAAATGGTTAGAATTCTAGAAACGGATCAATTACACTGTAAATTTAATGAGTGATGATAAAACCATTTCAAATTCGAAAGTGCAAAGTGAGGATATACATGTTTCCTTTACAATCATAAATCACATATTTCTAGGAAAAATCATTTTATATTGTTTACACGTAAAGATAACACATTTCGTTTTATTAGAATAACTCGGGCAGACTAGCTCAAAATTACTTTTTCTTGATTCCGAATTATACAATTTAACAAGAGCTATAAAACGAATATAATATTGATATATTTTATCAACTTCTAAAAATACATAAATATTCGACCCATATAATATTTCAAAAAATGCACGTAAGCAAATAAGTTATTTGTACAAATAAGCGAGTCAAGTCTACCACTTCAACTTTGGACTTTTAATATAACGACAAATCTTCATTTGCTAAATGATAAGTTTAGGTCCATATAGTAAAAAAATGCGGGGTGTTACATCCCTTTCCCCTTAAATTAATTTCGTCCTCGAAATTATCTTATTTAGTCAAAAAGCTCTAAAGATGTGACTTTTATTTTCTCCTCTTTCTAGTGACTTGATAAGTTTTATCCATGTATATCACATAAATATTCAATTATGTTCTATCTTTGTCAATCATCTTATACATTCTGCTCTTGGACCTTTAATTAGATGACCAATCACCATATCTTTATGTACAAAAATAAAAACTTGCTTAACACATTTCATTCTAACATTATAAGCATTTCATGGAATCAAGCTTAAATGATTAATAAATCATGCTTGAAAGTAAGCTTAAACATAGCATTTCTTCCATACCTTGGGTTCATCAGACGGTAGTTGATTGACGGGTGCTAATGCCACTGGTCTTATTTTAACACTCGTTTAATAAAATCTCATAATGTATAGAACAAAATAAAATAGCAAATAGACACTTACAGGCAGGTAACTAACAAAATATTAATAATCAATTCCTTTAAAACTATGAAACAGTAACCCATCATGTAACAAAGTTCAACGGTGTTCATGCTCATACCATCATTTTTTTTAGCAAGAATTTACTCAATATGAAAGTCTTTCGATGGCCCGACATATCGTCAGTATATTTCATTTAAACGTGATGGCCAAGGACGGAGCCAGAAAGATATGTTAGAATGGGCTGAAAATTAAATTTTTTCATAAATGCTCTTTGCTATTCAGGGCCCCATGGGATTAGTCGAGGGGCGCGTAAGCTGGCTCGGACACCCATGGTTATCAAAAAAAAATAAAAAAATAAATGCTCTTTGCTATTCGAGATTTAGTTTAAAAGGTTACACTCTTTACGCTACTGACAAAATGGATCAAGATATATTTTTAAACATCTATGACAAAATTCTAACAAATATATTTTTAAATGATAAAAGTAAATATAAAGCATATTTCCATTTCGTGTTTGAAATAAATAAATTTTTAAATCACAAGTATAAATAAACAATATATGAAAAAATACGTTAGAAAAAATTAATTACTTTTAAACTTAGTCAAACATGTGACATGCTACAATAAGTTATTTATCTTTACTTTAATCAATAAAAATTATTTCTAATATAATAAATTAATTTGATTATAAATGAACTATTTAAATTTAGGGCATGTTTGAGCCACAATATTCTAAAAAATGTATTTTTAAACAGTGATTTGATATCATTTCAATCACACATTCTTCAATAAAATAATATTACACACAAATCAAAATATTTTCCTTATTTTTTAACTACACATTTCCCATCAATACACTATTCAAGAATACATTATTACCAAAATAATGTGGCTCAAACACCCCCTTAAATAATTGAACATTAGATTTGGGTTGGGAATGAAGTTAATTGTGCTAAAAATTAATTTATAGACTAGGCTAAATTTTTATTCTTCTTTATTTCACCAATAAATTGGACTGAATTTTCCATTTTTTACAAGTCAATTAGCTATTGGGCTGAGGCTGGGCTACAGCCCACCCCAGCCCCCCTCTCCCTCCGTCTCTGGTGATGGCTGTCATATTAACTATTTTAAGTTGGCAACTGAGGTATTCAGCAAGTATTTTATCTTCCATGGAACCAGGCATACTGATGAATACAAACATAGAAAGAGTACTTACAAAAGATGTAACATGACAGGATAGAAATTGAATGAATGATGGCTTTAACATATAAATCACTGCAACATTGGTTACACAGGCCATTAATTAATTAATGCATGTAAATTTGGTAAATTGTTCAATAATGCTGCAGAGTCTTTTATCTTCATAGGTCTTATTATCGAATTTTATATCGACGGCAAAATAGCATAAAAACTCTAGACCAAACCAATAGCCAAAATATTGAGCCAGAGCCGGCCTTGAGAATTAGGAGGCCCTAAGCAACAAAATATTTTGAGGCCCACGTACTTTTTTCTTTTACACGTGTAACAATATTAAATTAAATAAAAAAATATATCTATATTTAAATGAAAAATTTGTACAATCTAAAAGATAAAATTGCAAAATTAAAAATCACTTACAATCCGAGATATTAGGCTAGCATCATCTCTTGTGACATGGTTGATCGAAGATAAGATTTAATCAATTTCAACTTTGAAAAACTTCTTTCAACGGATGCAACGACAACGGTACAGGAGAGAAGCATACCTTCAATGACAAAGAAACTGCACGTGCAAGCTCAGTATCTTCTAGATGGGACTGCCTAGGCTGATGAGTGGGATTCCTAAGATCCTGTATCAGATCAACATATTTCGATAATTACAACTCACATTACAGGGAAAAAATGACTCATACATTCAAACTGAATCACATACAACGTGATCATCAAATTGTTGATTTGACATTGCAGCATCCCATTTGGAAGCCTCAATGTGCAGTTTAAGAAACATCTTCAATTATAGGAGTAGTATCAGACAACCAGAAGCTCCACTACCATCCTTAACCTCAATTGGGATCTCCCTCACCTCTCTTGGATGTGAAACAAATGATGAACCACTACCAAAACCAGTACCACTATCAAATATAGTTCTGGTGAAGTTTGGATCAAGTAAAGAAAATGGATTCAAATCCCTAGCAGAGGGTAATAGCGAAAAAGGTCTAAGGGTTCAGCTAGAATCGGGTCATCTATATCCATAACATCATTCCAAGGAGCAGTGAAAGATGCCTCTTGCGTTCTAAACACAGAGAAACAATAATGTAATAGAAGATGTTTTGATTTAAAAGTACATAGGTATTTGAAGGGAAAGAAGAAGGAAAAAAAGAAAGATTCAAAAGGACTGGAAAAATGCCTACATGTTTCTATACCTCACTGAAATGTGAATTGACAGCTTCATTCAGGTTGCCATGATGCTCCTTCTCAACACAGCACATATAATATACTTGGGCAATAAAATCAAACACAACATTCAAAACCTCCTTTCAAATAAATTATTTTGCAGGTTAGTTTGCATACCAAAAAAAAAAAAAAATAGAGGGCAACAGCACATAAAGGTTTCACATATCATAAAATTCTAAGATAACCAATGATTAATGAATTTCAATATTCTTCCAGTTAATCAAAGATTCTGGCTCTGCAAACTTAGTGGTTTAATCATCACACCATCCAAATTCAGTATAATTTCTTCCTCGTCTACCAATAATCATCATTCTAAATTCCAAAAATCCAAAGACAGAAAGAGCTTTGCTATTAATTATTATATGATAAACCAATTACAATTTACCTGAATAGATGAGCAGGGTCGGGAAAAAACAGCAAACTTTTGGAAGGAGATGTCTTCTGCCGACTGCCGAGATGGGCGCTAGAAAGCCAGGAGACTGAGGAGAGGAGGATACTGATTACT